GCCATGCCCGCTGGTGCCGGCATTGTGAAGCATGTAGACCCAGCTGGCAGGCGGGGGGCTGCCCGCCGCTCCCCCCAGCCGCTCACCGTTGTGGCTGGGGGGGGGGGGCTCTCCGTTGTGGCTGTTGTGGACGTAGACCACCTGGGCCTGCTCGGTTGGGGTGCGCCCCAGGCAGTAGAGGATCCCCACGAGGTCAGCCATGGAGAAGCCCCTGGCCTGGACATGGTTGCTGCGGTTGCGGTAGTTTTGGAAGCCTGTCTTGGGGTGTGTCATCACAATCTTGTTCTCCCGCTCGATCTGCAGGTAGCTCACGTCGCGCTCTCCCATGATGCAGGAGAGGAAGAAGTCAGAGTGGGACAGGCTCTGCACGTTGGCGATCAGGGTGATGTCCAGGATGGCCCCTGGGTTGGGGGAGCACGAGGGCGCGTCATGACTGGACAAGGGCACAGCCATCTGCCTCAGGGCCAGACCCCGTCACCCAGATGTCACCCTCTTTCCAGGACATTTTTGTCACCCCCAGCCCCGGAGGCACAGCCAGGGCACAGCCAGGTCAGGTGCAAACCCATCAGGATGGCACAGTGGGCATTTCCACTCTTCTTTTGGACATCCCCATGGGCTCAGCCCCCCGCCATGAGCCAAGTGTGCAGCAGGACGGGGGTCCTGGGGCCCCTCTCCTCCCACAAGCTGCCTGTGCCTCAGCCCCGTGCTGGGGAGAGGCAGGCAGCGGAGGGCACTGCTGGCCTCTGAGGTCTCCAAATGGCCGATCACAAAGGGATGTTTCCTCCCTCCAATCCCTGCTCCGATGGCACCACTGAGCTCCCACAGCTGCCTCGTCCCACCAAGCCTCCCTCGGGCAGGGGCTGCTCCCTGGGGCTGAGGGAAAGGGGTGATTTACCTGCCAGCCGTGGGAGGAGAAGCAGAAGATAAACCTGGAGTCCCATGTCCTTGGAGCGTGTCTTGAATCTGGCACAGGTCAGAAAATCCCCGGCATGTCCCAGCCACGGGGGTTGGAGCCAGAGGCCACAGCTGCCTAGGGGTTCCACGTGGGCGGCAGCTCATGACCCCTGCTCCCTGCCTGCACCCCCCATCTCGCCTCTGCCCAGCTGCTCGGCCTCTGGGGGAGCTGGGACCACCTCCTCTGTCACATAGCCTGGGCACGGTGAGGAAGGTGCCCCCGTCGCCACTTGCTTGGTGGCCACCCGGCTGCTCAGGAGTGGGGCTTGGTGGCGAAGAGGCCACTGAGGTCCCCTGCCCAGTGGCAGCTTTCCCGGGGAGCAGGCGCTCACCCCTCCAGGGCTAGGGCTGTGTGCTCAGGGCTCCCCAAGCCATGCTGAGCCCCCAGCCCAGCCAGGAAGTGTCCCAACCCGCCTCCTTGCCCGCCGTGCAGAGGGTCTCATGCCCGAGCCCGCCCGGGCAGCAGCATCCCCGTCCCCTCGGCGCAGCCCCACGGCCGACGGCTGTGGGAAGGGCTCTCTGGAGCAGGGAAAGGAAAGGGGCCAAGGGGCCGCGGCTGGCGGTGGCGGCGGAGCCAAATCCTGTTTCCCATGCGGCATTTCCTGCTCTCCACCCATTGTTCGGAGACAGGCCTGACTCCAGGAGCCGGCAGGAGCTGCCCCACACAGGCTCTGCGCCGGCGAGTGGCATGCGGCGATGCTGAGGCCGTACACACCTCATGACACCTCAGCCTCCTACCACCACAAGCTGGGGTGCTATGGCATGGCCCCACCTGGGCTTCACATTGTGCCAGGGTCCAACTCACCCCTGCAGCAGAGGTGCTATGGCATGGCCCCACCTGGGCTTCGCGTTGTGCCAGGGTCCAACTCACACCTGCTGTCGCGGGGCCTCTGTCCGGGTTAAAAGGGGCTGAGCAGGAGCACAGGCAGGGCGATGAAAAGCCAGCCAGCCCGCATGGGAGGATGGCCGCTGCTGGGGGAGAAAACACTCCATGTTGCAGTAAACATGTCTGGGAGGAAGCGGAAAGCAGCAGAAAGCCTGGCTTTCCCTGAGTGCTTTCCCATGCACAGCACCGGCACAGGCACCGGTATGGGCATGGCACAGCATGGCCCTGCTGCCTCTCCAGCCCCAGGGGGTCTCACACCCAGCCATCCTGCGAGGCTGCCCTGGCCTCCAGCGGGGTGCAGGCTCTTTGGCAAACGAAAGGCATTCCCCAGGAAACCACCGTAAGCTTCACCCGCCAAACCTCATGCTGCTTCACAAACCGAGCTGTTCCCACGTGAAAGCCAGGGCTGCCAGGGAGCGAGCCTCATGTTTGGTGTGTCCTGAGCCCATGCCGTATCCGGCCAAAAATCTAAAGCACACATGGAGAGGAAGGGGAAATCCATTCATCGCTTCCGACTATTTACAGCGCGCTCCGGAGCCGCGCAGTGCCCACGGCGTGCCGATGGAGGGATGGCAGCAGGCAGGGGCTCCCCCAGCGCAGCCACCCGGCCACCCTGCGACAGGAGGGATGGAGAGGTGCCAAAAAAGATGGACACCAGATGCAGCTGCCCCCATTTGCCTGGAAAACTAAGCACAGTGCTTTCCTGTGGGCTGTGCATAGGCAAGGGGCTCTGTTTTTGGGAGACCCCCGGGGCACCTGAGGCACAACCATAATGTAAATGCGGAGCACAAGGCCATCCTGCAGTGGGATGCGCAGGGGCTGGGCAGCCAAGGCTGGTCCCTTCTGCTGTCGGTGCCCTCCTGGGGAACGCCACATCCCCATTTGCCTGGCTAACCCCAAGCTCATTTGCAAGCGCATTGGGTCAAGGACTCATCCGCGCACTCAGTACAACTGCAGGAAGAGGATAGATACACGAATAGATAAATAAATGGCTTCTTCCCCTAGTTCACTGGCTGTAGAGGCCAGTCACGCTCAGAACCATAATTGCCATCATGCCACCGTGTGCTTACACGTGCTGCACCTGGGGAAGCAACTCGTTCTGTGCTACCCCGGCAGCACACGGAGCCATGAGTTACAATGCACTCTGTGAAATGTCCTCCGACACAAGGAGCCATTTGAGGACAGGATTATTTACACAGAACAAACACGCTTTATAGGAAGGCTTTGCAACCACGCGCCCTGCAGTGTGCTCCTCCAGGGAGCACAGCATGGCTCTTCTTGCTGCCTGAGGGGAACCAGGGCATTGCTTTGCTCTTTTGGGGAATGAGAGCCATTTGCGGTCAGCTTTCCACACCAGGTGATGCCCAGGAGATCTCAGGGATCCATTGAGGGATCTGACCCAACCTGATTTGTCCCCTTGCATTTTTTCTAGGAACACCTGGATAAGAGGTGTCTATCTGTGCAGATCCCTCAGGTTGGAGGTGGGGGACGAAACCTCTCTGGGAGGTTTTGTGGGGAGACCCAACCAGGACCCTACAGCTCCAGTTTAACGTTATGTATCTCCAGAGGAGGGACCAGGGAGCTGGGTGCAGCCAAGCCCAGACAAAGCAGCTTGCCACACTTGCTCTCCTGTAATATGGAAAGCTCCAGCTGCCCAACCCATAGCACACTGAAAGCACCTGAATTTCTGCTGAATTCACAGACCTCAATGTTTTTGCTGAATCACAACAGGCTAAAAAAAAAAGAGTGACAAAAATACCCCTTTTTGTTATCATTTGCACATTCTAATGCACGGCACCGCATGCCAGAAACCATAACGCACCGCTACGTTTCCTGATAGGAAATGCAAACGCCCTGCGAATCCACCGACGGGCTGGGCTGCCTCAGCAACATTTTCTAGCCTTGTCTTCTGGCTGTTTGTTTTGTTTTACATGCACGGTGGGTCCCGGGGAGGCCCTGCAAGGCTAGGTTAAGGGCTGCTGCTGCCAGGCATAAAAGCAGCCCGGGAGTGGGGTGGCCGAGCATCCCCAGTCCACCCAGTTGCATCGGCAGAGCAGCTGGGGAGCAGGCAGCTGCCTGGCTGTGTTGGCGTCTACCACATGCTTGCAGGATCAAGGATGGACTGCTGGGAAGCCCTTTCCCCACGGGAAGGGTGGGACGTGTGGCCACGGAGGATCCCCTTGGCAGCTGGGGGAAGCGGGGCCGCCCTGTCCTGGCCGCCGCCAGGGTGGAAACTGCAGAGCTGCAGCGCTCTTGTTGGCAGGCGGCTTCCTGCTGCTGAGCAGGAGCAGGGACGGGGAGCAGGGCGTGGGGAAGAGAGCTCAGGGCTCCCTCCTGCTGCAGAGGCAAAGCCGGGAGCGGGCGCTGCCAGCACCTCCCCTGCCCAGGCTGTGGCTCTGCCAGCCCTTGCCCGCTCACCCGCCCCAGCACCCATGGGCATGGGAGCACGTCCCACCCAACCATGTGCCAGTAAACACCAGCAAGATGCTGCTTTGACATAATATCCCAGTTTTTCACTGACTCCACGGCAGGGCTGGCAGGGAGCACTGCCGGGCCCAGGGACCTACTTGTTTGCTGCATGTTTTAAACACCTTTCTGCCTAAATCCTAATGATACTTTCATTTTCCAGCAGGAAACTTTCCTGTTGCCTCAGCCCCACCTTCTTCAGCTGAGGCTTGCTGTGTGCCCTTGCCCTGGGGGGCTGGGCTCAGGCTGCTGTCCTCGAGCACGGCCGTATCGGGGAGGATGCCACAGAGGTGTCCCCCTCCTCCTCTGGCCCCCTAGCACCTCCCGGTGCTCCACTCCCACCGAGGTGGCCCCCACAGCACCCCATGGTCCACCAGGCAGATGCTGGCGGTCCCCCGGTCACCTGTCATGGGAGGCAGCGGGTGGGAGGTGGCGGGGCGTGGTGGTTAATGTGTAACCGGCGCCGCCACCTTTCACCCACGCACAGCCGTCAGGAGGGAGCGGGGCCACGGCGACAGCCGGGCTGGCTCCCAGGTGCTGGTGGTCTGTGGGGCCGTGCGGCCAGGGCACGGGAGCTTGGCGGGGGCCCCAGGCTGTGCGGCCGCGGCCACACCTCACGCAGCACAGCCGGCTACGCCGGCTTCCCAGCTTTCCCTGACACTTGTTTTTCTGCCTGGCAGTTTCCTGGAGCCAAATGGCTCCTGCCTGCCTGCTCGGGGTTTGCAGCCTCCTCTGCGCCTGGTCAGTGGTGACAGGACACCCCTGCAGCCTCAACCGCCAGGTAGGGGGGGCCGAGGGGGCTCTGGCGTGGGCAGCAGCCAGGGGCAGGCAGGGGCAGCCCACCCCCGGTCCTGCCAGCGCAGCTGGGGTGGCAGTACCGTGTGCCTGCAGGGCAGCGGGCCCCGGCGGGCAGCTCCCACTCTGCACAGCTCGAGACATGACAAGCTGTGGCGTTTCTGACTCTGGGGGGGTCTCTTGGCTGCGGCCATAACGTGGCCGCCCATAAGGGGTGCTGCATGGCGAGCAGCAGCGAGGCACATCCCCAGGGGGCTCCCAGCCCCTCTCTCTCTTCTCCTATGCACAGTGATGCAGTGACCGAGCCAGGTCAGGCTGACCGTGGGTCAGGACCCCCAAGCACCTGGTGAGGAGCAGGAAATACAACTAACCCATCCCACCAGGACAAGTGCCACAGCCAGCAGCTCAGCTGCACTGGGCGGGAGCTGGGGGGAGGCAGGAAAAGCAGCTGTCATGGGCAGATGGCACAGCGCAGTGCTGCCCACCGAGCTCTCAGATACTCCCTCAAAACGTTTGCGCTGTTTTCCCCAGCTTCGCCGAACCGAGCCCTGTCTGAGCTTGGGACAGGACCTGTGTGGTGCCGCCGTGGCTCAGCCCCATTATAACCTAGTCCTTGGCAGCCCAGGTTTATACGGGCACAGCTGTTTCTCTAATGAGCAGGGACGGTAGGGCCTGACAGGAGATTTGGGGGAACAGGAGGACGAAAGGAGAGGTGATCATGCGAGAGGCAAAGAAACAGAAACGGCGGCTAGCTGGAAAGCAGCCAGACCTAGAAAGCCAGGACTACAGACCACAGCAAACTTCCAGCACAGCATCTCTGCCTGCGGGGCCCAAACACGGCATTGAGCAGTAGCCCGTGCCTGCCCAACCAAGCTGTTAAATTGCCAACCTGCTTTCTGGCAGCTTCAGTTTGGGCAGCTGACCCTCTCCCACATAAAGCCCAGGCAGGAGTAACACATGCTGGGGACTGCTCCCCAAAACCAGTTTGAATTTGGCCACCCTGATTTGGTGGGGGGGGGGAATGTCCATCCACTTGGGCTGATCAATCCATCCAGCATGCACTGCTGACTTTTTGGGACAGTGAATGTCCCTGGTCCTGTTTTATTTACTAGTATAGACAGAGCCAGCCTGCACTAAGCCGCTGCCACTCACAGTGTATCCTCAGAAACACGGGAGGGCTGGAGGTGTGGGTACAACACCCTGCACAGGCCCTGGGGAGCAGCTCTTGACACAGGTGCCTGGTGCGGGTCCCCCCTGCTCTGCAGCCTAGCCAGCTGCCGCTGCCTGCCTGCCCTTGCAGTGGGCGGGGGTCTCACCCACTCCTCTGCTCCAGCTAGAAGCATGCCCTTGTGTCACGCAAGAGCTCTGTGGGGGCTGGAGGTGGGGATCTAGAGGAGGAAGAGGAAGGTGTTCTGCAAGCTGAATCCAGATGGCAACTGCCCCAGAAGAGGGGACAGGAGGGTGACACCCTGGTCCCTTTGTACCCACCCCGTCTGTCTGAGTTTCCCCCTGGCTCTCCACGCTCCTCCTTTACTTCTTCAGTCGGCTGCTCTCAGTCCTGGGCTGTCCTGGGCTGTCCTGCTCATCCTTCTCCATTTATCTTGGCCCACACCAAACTGGCAGCTCATGTGTTTTTACACCTGTTTGTGTCTTTGCTTTTTTAAACTTTGCAAGGGTAATTAGTTAAGGCATTTGAACTTCTGGGGAGTCTCGGTCTACAGATCCTCCCCAGCACAGAAAGCCCATCTCAGACAGCAGCTCTTTTCCCAGGGATGGGCTGACTGCAATGGGAAGAGCCTCCTGCACGCTCCAAGTTCCCTTCCAAGCAACATCACCAGTTTGGACCTCTCCTTCAACTCCTTGGTCATGCCTCGTCATGGGACTCTCTTGATGCATTTCCCTTCCCTGCGCTCCCTCAACCTCTCTAGCAATGCCCTGCTGGCTCTGAGCCCAGCGGTCTTCTCCAACCTCGGAGCACTGCGCCTGCTGGACCTGAGCAGCTGTAGCATCGCCTACCTCCACATGGATGCTTTCAAGGGCTTGGGAAACTTGCACACACTGCTCCTAAGAAACAACAGTCTGCAAGAGCTTGAGGTTCCTTTCTTCCTGCCGCTGAAGGCTCTTTTCCACCTGGACCTGCAGCACAACGCGCTGGTCTCGGTGGACACTTTGAGCCTGCAGCTGATGGAGGCAGTTCCGCAGGTCCGGCTGGAAGGGAACCCCTGGGTCTGCGACTGCACCGCACGCCCTCTGCAGCAGTGGCTACAGCGCAGGCAAGGTGAGCGGATGGGGGCAGGTGGCAGGAGAGGTGTCGGGCAGGAGGAACCCTGGGTGCAGGGGTCCCACTCGATCCTTTTGCTCCAACCCCTGAGCAGGCTCTGAGATGGCTCTCCAGGGACCTTTCCCACCCTGTTGAGGGACAGTGAACGAAAAGGTGATGTGTCTGTTCCTTGCTTGCAGTTACACATGATACCAAAGCTTTCTAGGAATGACAGCAGCATAATTTAGCCACTCTTCTGGGAAAGGGGCTGCATGTACACTTCAGCCCCTAAATCCACCTATATGTATCTATGTGGAGTGACCACATTTTCAAGAGTTGCTGAGCACTCCGCAGCTCCTCCTGTGGAGCCAGATCAGGCTCCAACCCTCTGAGCTCGTCTCCCAGGCGAGAGCAGCCCTGTGACAGTGGGGTTTCTATCAGTATCCGTGAATTTGGCATTGTCCAGTTAAAAGGAGCCTACTAATCACAGTTATACACTTGCACGGTTCCTTGGTCAGGGAATTTTTTCTTTGGTTGTGCCTTACGTGCTGAGGGCTGTTGAGGCTGGAGGACAGAGCCAACCTTGCAATGTGTCCCATCAACCCAGGAGCAAGCAGGGATCGTCTTCTCTAAACTGGGGAGGGGATGGGTGAAGACCCCCAGTCCCACCTTAGCCCGTGTGTCTTGCAGCTGTGCAGGTGACCTGTGCATCACCCCCGGGGCTGCGGGGCCGGGAGGTTGCAGCTCTGGATTCCCAGGACCTGGGCTGCGGAATGAAGCAGCGGTTTCCTCGGGGGGTCAGCACAGCACAGCAGATCACAGCGACCCACAGCAACAGTAAGTTGTGCAGCTACGGGGGCGTCCGTAAGGTCTAGCACACTCCTGCCTTCCGTCACCCCAGAGGGGACCGCAGCCAGAGACCCTCTGCTCTGCCCTGCAGTCCCAGGGGCTCAGGCTGCCCGGCCACCGCTGGTGCAGTGGCTTTTTGGGGAGGGTGGCCTCCAGCAGTGGCTTGGTGGGGAGGGTGGCCACCACCTGGAGGTGTTTGTTGGCTTTGCAACAGAAAAGTGAGCAGATGCCACAGAGTCACACAGAACACTCTGTGGCACTCCATAGTGATAGGCACCAGTATCAGACAGCCGTCTAGCAGTTTTCCCCACAGTGTTCACGCACCCTTGGTAGCTAGCTCTTGGTGAAGAGCATTTATATTGCTCCTAACGAAAGCAATCCAGTGCTGACTGCACGCCACAGGCATGCACTGGGCTGGCTGCTGAGGACTGCCGGGTATGCCGCAGGCTGACCTGCCATGCCCTGACGTGCCTTTCCTGCGCCGCAGCCACCACACCACCCTCCGGGAAGGGGGGAAGGAGCTGGCCATACCTGGTGGGCTTCCTGGTGGCAGCAATCGGCATCTCCATCTTGATCGCGCTGGCTGCCAAGTGCAAGCTCTTCCACAAGAACTTTGCCAGCTACCGCCACCGGCCACTGCCCGAAACCAGCTCAATCAGAGGCAGCCCCATGGAGGACAGCAGCAGCTGGGACAGGGGCTCCTCAGGCCGGGGGGCCAGCAAGAACCACCCCATGCCTGGTGCTGCCGACCTGCAAGCTGAGGATGACGATGGCTTCATCGAGGACAACTACATCCAGCCAAGCGAGCAGCTGCCGGAGGAAGAGGAGCGGGAGTTGCACCTCTCCATCTGAGCCTGCAGCCCAGCCACCACCGCTGCGGCCTCTCGCCGTCCCCCCCACCTCCATCCCCTTCCTGCCCTTTCCCACCTGCCCTCGGCTTTTGGCCCCACGTGGCTGGGGGCAGGAGGAAAGGAGCGGAAAGGAGGGGGAGAAGGGGTGAGCTGGGAATGGGGACAGAGGCTGAAGGCAGCAGGCCCCACGGTGCCCCAGCGTGACGCCAGCGGGGCTGCATCGGCACGGGGATGCTGGATCCGCTGCTGCTCTCCCGGCCCTGCTCAGATGCCGAGGATGAAGGAGATGGTGCTGATCACATCTGGAAAGCCTGGTGGGGTGGAAAGAGGAGCCTGCCCTGCGGGGTCTCGGGCACCAGCCCCGCTGCCCGACAGCGGCAGACCCAGCCCTGCTCTGTCCCCCGATGTGTTGTCACTCCAGGGTGCGATTAAAGCATGATTTAACCCTGCCTCTGCCTGCAATGGTTTGTTGGGGCTCTCCCAGTGGCCGTGCTGGGAGGAGGCCCCCAGCCGGGGTGTGGCTTTTTTTGCATGCGCTTTCAAGGACCAGAAATACATTCCTCATTAACTGTGGCGGTGAGAGAAGTCTGTGGCACAACGAGTGCTCTTGTGCAAACAAATCTATTACCTGATCTGGCTCAGGCAGCCCTGGTGCATCGTCACAGGGTTTCTGTGCATGTCTCGCCAGCGTTGCTTCCCGCTGCGTCTCTTTTCTCTCTTCCATCTCCAGCAAGACCCATTAGAAAAGCACTTACCTTTCCCATGTCAGCTCTGCAGAGCTGAGCAAACCTGTTGGCAGCACCAGTTGCGGCTTCAGGCAGGCACGTGTGCTGGGGTGAGACAGCCCTGTCCCCTGGCACCCATTACAGAGTCCCGTCTGTATCTCTAACCATGAAGTTGTACAAACATTATAATTTTTGCATTCGTGTCATCTTTGTGGTACGATAAACAGCACATGAGACATAGGTCACCGCAAGTTGTTTCTGCTGTAGCCGGTCGTGCCTGCGTGGGTCATGCTGGAGTTAAAAACAGGGAGCAGCAGTGGCATTCACCCTTAGTAAGTGATTTGCAAGGCTGGTACCATCTGGCTGGGAAGATTTCCCGGGGCACAGCCCAGTTGTTACCGTCCCTGATAGCCTGGGAATCCCTCCATCGTGCTCCGGACCATGAAGCATCATCACAGGGATGGCATTTCTTGTAGCCCTGCCACACGGCTAATTCCCCCATCTCCTTCAAACCTCCATTTCACTGTAAACTGCCTTTCTATTTCTCTACTCATTAAGATATTTATAGAGCACAGTGTATACAAAAGCAAATAATACACATGAGGGAATGTAGACCAAAGGGCATGACTGACTCAGGCATTGGATGGGCAATACAGGCCAGTGACTTAAAGCACCTTCCAGAGAGGGAACGTGCTGTTTGAAGCCATGAGGAGGAGGAGGAAAACCTGCTGGCTTGTTTCAGTGGTCAGTTTTCTCTCTTAAATGCGGTATTTCTAAACTGAGCTTGTCCTGGCTTTAGTTTTGCAGTCACTGCCTCTTGGTTTGCCTTCTGGGCTCACCTTAACAGCCCTTTACTACCTGTGAAAATACAATATATCCTGTAATTTTTGGAAATTTCTAATGACTTTCAGGTAAGATAGGAGACTTAAATCTGGGGGCTGGGAAAATACATTTCAGTTATCTGTTGGAGGGTATTTGTCGATAAGCTTTTTATCACATGAACTCATGCTAGATGCAGTATTTTACTTTTGGTCTCAGCGATGTCTTAAAAAATTGCTTCCCAGGCTTATTTATCCAGGGTCTCGCTCAGTCTCATCCCTCAGTACCTAGTGGTGGGTTGCTTGTTACTTTGACCCTGCTGAGAGGCCCACCCATTTATTCTTTAATGGACCAGACGTGGCTGTTTCTCGGGTGTGCAGGGGGCCCCGGTGCCGTGGCAGCCCCTCTGCCCCCATGCCAGGCAGCTCTAGCGCAAGCGGGCAGGACCCTGGCAGCTCGCGTCAGGGAGAGCTGGGAATACAAGGGGGTCAGAGCAGAAAAGGAGGAGCCTTCTCAAGGGGGGTCACCGCAGGAAGCTGCGGAAGGACCATGGTTGAGGCTGGCGGACGAGAGCAGTAGCAGGTATGCAGGCAGACTGGTTCCAGGCTCGCTGCAGGCAGCAGCTGCCGCCGCGAGGCTTGAGGCTTGACCCTACCGCAGGGCGAAACAGCTTCTCTGTAAACAAACCAGCTAGCACCGACATATTCAGGAGGCTTTGCATGTGTCCCGTGAGCTCCTTTCAGGGGCACGGCAAGATCTTAGGTTCACAGAGCGGTGGTAAGGGGGACCGGCCATGTCTAGGTCCTTAAGCAGAGGGAGATGCACATGCATCTGGAGGTGGGAGTCGTGTATCGGGAAATAAGTACATGCATTTGGGGGGCTGTGGTGGTGTTGGCACACTAGCTGATGAGCTGAAACCACAGCTGCAGGAGGGACCCTGGGCTGTCATGGTTTCTGCCCTGGGCTCAGCCTGAGCAGAGGCCAGCTCTGCACAGCCCTGCTACCTCCCGCTCTGCAGAGAGGCTGTCACTCAAGCATCAGCCTTCAACACAGTCGACTTCTGCAACACTTTTATTATGTATTTCCACGCACAACACAGGAACTGAGAAAGCAACAAACCAGCACTGCTGCTGTAGGAGGTGAGTCAGTGACTGGGGCGGCACAGGCTGTCCAGCCGGGCAGCCAGACACCCAAACCGCCATCCTCAGAGACAGCCTGTTCTCAGCCGTTATTTCCTCAGGTTGCTGACGTGGCCCACGAGCATCCTTTTGTGGCACAATTCATGGGCACTTGGGGCACATTTTGCAGGGGCTATGGAGGGGAGGATTCACATTGATATACAGGCAGTGTGGAGTTCTGAGTTGGGCACAGTCACGCATCTTCACAGAAATGCCCAGATGTGCAAAACAGCTGCAGCCTGTCCACACCTGCAGGTTGGGGGAGCTGGGAGTAACCGCTAAAGCACTGATGCAGGCAGAGACGGTGCAGCTTGGCAAAACTGCACATGCACCGACACAGACATGCAGAGCAGCAGCAACGGTGATGGTGCAAAACTGTCCAGCTTTGGCCTGTCCCTCCCTGTGTATGCACAGGGGTCCCTGCTGGACCTGAGGTCAAACAGCCCGGAGGGGAAGGACAGGTCTTTGCGTTGCAGAGGATTTAGCACAGAAGGACCTGAGCTTAGTAACACCCTCTGAACTCTTAGGCAGATTAAGAGAAGTGATGCAGAGAGAGGAGGAAACAGCAGTTTAATAAAATCTATAGATGATGTGAAAGTGGCAGAGGAAAATGTAGAAATAACAGAGATCCAGAAAAGAAAAGCCAAAATGATGTTCCTGTACTTTGGGGAAAATAATCCAAGGCTTCGGGGGGGAGGAAAGCCCGCAGGAGCAGGGCAGGAACAGATGAATACAAAAGTGCCTTCATGCGATCTGAGTGCACTGGGGATGGTGTGGTCTGGAGCTGCGAAGGGATGAAGTCCTCATTGTCCAGTGTATACCTGGTGGGGTTCACTGATGCTGAACTCTGACACTGCCTCCAGGTGTAACACGGACAGTGATTCATGCTGTTACTGAGGGAATGAGCTATAGTCCTCTTCCAAATAAATTTGTTACCAGATGCCAAAAAAGAATAGCTCAGTTCTTCTTCCATTACAGAGGGAAATTAGCAAATAATGAGCAAAAATAATGGCTGGGGCAGAGCAGCTCAGGTGAGGGGGAGACGGGAGCAGACAGGAAGATGAAGAGGAAGAGAAGGTTGCGCAGGAGCAGCTTTGCTAGGAGGTTAGGATCTGCGTCTATGGAAAGGGCAGGGAAATGGTTTGTGGGTCTATGGAGGAAATGAGAACTTTGACAGGTAAATTAGCCTCAAGTCACAGGAAAAGCTCCCAGGGATGAGTTGTTAGTCTGCCTCTGGGAAAGGCACCTCAGTGATAGACACCTCGTAGAGATAAAACACCAAAAAAGCTCCAGGTAAGGCCCAAGCAGTAGCAGAAGAACTTTTCTGCCCCGCAGCAGCTGCAGCACTTGGGAGACAGAAACAGCGTGGGAACACGCAGGGACTGGGATGAGCTGCAGCGCTCCAGCGGCAGCAGAGGTGCCTCTGCTTGGGAAACTCCTGTCGGAGGGCAACAGAGCTCCCCCCTCGCACTGCCCTTGCAGGGCAGCAGCCCCAGCCCCGGGATTCGGGCATCCCATCACCATCCCCCAGTGACTGCACCTTGCTGTTTGTGGCTTGCATGGCTGGAGCACACTGGCATGATAACAGAGCCCCAACACACAGTCCAGCACTGATAACCCGTCAGGGCCCTGACACCAACACCCTTTGATCACCCCTTTGATAAACCACCAAAGATGGTGGGCTGCAAAAAGGTAATATTGGAACAGATCCTGGCATTGCAAATACAAACAGCATTTCATATGAGGTCCAGCCATGCCAGGGCTCTGGTACACAGAATCCCATGCAAATCCCACGCTCACTCTCACAGACACACAGGTGCTTTCTCGGGAGCAGCCCCTGCAGCCGTACCTCTCACCAAGCTCCCTTCACTTGTGCTGCACGTCTGCTGACACAGAATATTTCCTGCCATTCGTCAGCTGCTAGAGGCTCTACTTTGCTCAGGGGTCCTGCAGCCTGGGAGGGAGGGGACGCACGACACAGGGCATCACAGCATGCTCAGCATGTGCCCACCTTCACGGGCTCAGAGGCAGGAAGCGCTGGTGCCAGCTGAGACAGGGGTCCGAGCTGGCAGCTCTGCACGGAGCACAGGGTGGTTTCGTACCATCCGCAGTCGCAGCCTCTCCTGCCAGGAGAGCGCGTGACACAGCCCCGGGAACTGCAGGAACCAAGCAAGTACTGGGGTCCCCAGGGCTACAGGACAGGCTCACCTTAACTCTGTGACAGGGGTCACAGCCGGGCAGGCAGCAGCTGTCACAGGAGGCTTTGCGGAGATAAAACGCCAACCAGGCCGGTGCTGCACTCCTAACGCACCGGGTCACAGAGCCCATCCAGGCACCCCAAGTCCCTGCTGTGCCGTCAGCCTGGGGCAAAGCAAGTGCCACTCATCTCCGAAAGTAGCGCAAGGCACACCGCAACGCTCACCTTTCCTTGGCAAAAGGACGGCACAAGCCCTGCTGACGGGTCGTATCCAGTGAGGCTTATGCAGGGGTGTCCTGGGTCAGATCAGGTTGGCCATGCTGGAGGTGGGAGGAAGCCGCCTGTTTGCAGCCAGGCGGCCGGAGATGGTGAAGACACGGATCTCGCCGGTCTCCAGGCTCCGAGGAGCAGCCTGGCGGCAGGAGGTGCAGAGCAGGTAGAGCAGCAGGCAGAGGAGGATGGCACTACCAGCAGTCAGGAGGACAACCCCGCTGGTGAACATGCTGGCCAGCGGCCGTGCAGGGCTGAGCTGCATGGTTGTGGTGGAGAGGATGGTGAGCACGACCCCGCAGACCACCAGCACCAGGGCGCTCAGCAGCAGCACCAGGCAGTCCGAGAAGCCCCCACTCTTCAGGAGCTCGATCTGATCCCGGCTGCGGATGCAGTTCATGTCCTGGATTGCAGAGCTCAGCAGCTGCTTCAGCAGCACGAGCAGGGCCAGGAGGCAGAGCGTGGTGCCCACGGCCAGCCGCCACTCCCCAGACCGGCTGCTAGTGCTATACAGCAGGATGATGCCCCCAATTCCGCAGGCCAGGATCAGCACCACAGCCATCCCGTAGCAGAGGATGGACTTCTTGGGGTCCTGGAACCACCAGAGCTCCACATGCTCCTCCAAGATGTTCCTCTGGATGTGGTCTGCGTCCGCAGGAGTGCGGGGGCTGCTCAGCTCTGCCAGCTCTGGCATGGTGGGTGGCTGGGTGGGGAGGGCACGGTGTGGTGGTTGCACAGATGAATCTACACCCTTACAGCGAAGTGGAGGATCAAGGCAGCAGCAGTTGCAAAGGCAGCTGCATTTCTCAAGAGGGGATGCCTCTGTCTCATTCTTTGGAGCCTGGTGGAGCTCCCTTCTGCAGCAGTGCCACCTGGAGAGCTATGGTCCATGCACTGGGGCTGAGCCCACCCCCCAGGCAGGGCTGCAGGACATGGTGGAGCATCCCCAGAGCAGCACCATAAGGGAACAACCAGGGCTGTGTCCTTCCTTTCCTGTGTCTTTCATCTGAAAGAGTCAAGAAGAGAAGATAACATTAAACAGAGACTCTGCTCCCCTTTACCAAACAATCCCCTGCCAAACCCTGGGCCTTGGTTGCTCCAGGCCGGCCTGCAGACCTTCCCCTGCCTCCCTCACAGAAGCGCCGTGGGTTAGAGCACAGATCAGCCACACACGTCTTCCCGGGAGACCTCCACACACTGCGGGGGGACTTCAGCCTGCCCCAAGGGCGAGTCTCCTGCCTCCCCAGCCCCGTGTGCCTGCTCAGAGGCTACTGGCACATCACTGCCAGCAGGACTCTGCCTGCAGCTGGTGCTGGCAGCAGGGCAGGGACGGAGCAGAGGCAGGTCCCTCCTGGGATAAAGCCCCATTCACAGCTCTGGCTTCACATGCTCCCTCATCAGCATCAGCCTCTTGTCACCAACTGGCTCTGCTGCCCAGAATGACAGCGAGAGGTGGGGGTCAGGACAGGGGCTTAACCCTTCCAGTCCAGTCACTGGAAGAGCGAGAGCTGCCCTTGCTGCATGTCCTCAGCCCTGTCCCTACCCCTGCACCACCAGCAGCCCCCTCTCCCAAGTCCCCTACAGAAACGTGATGGTTACATCTCTGGTGGTCTCAGCACTTCCCTGGAAAGAGTCCCCAAACAGCTGGGACCTGGCATCTTGCAATTTTGCCCTCCTCTCTGCTCCTCCCGGTCCCTGAAGCACTTCTTCACCACTGGAGGGGAGCAGGGGAAGGGCAGTGGTGGCTGCAGGGTGGAGGCAGGCTCCGTGGTGCTGTGCTTAGCTGGGCTCCCCTTGGCACAGCACCTTGTCTCAACCTGCAGCCTGGCTTCCTGGGCTCATCACCTCCCCAGCGTCCTGGCTCCCTCAATGCTTCTCTGGGTACAGTTTTACACCAAGAGTGGAAACCACTTGCATTTCTCTCACATAACCTCCCGTCCTGGCATGTGAGTGCTCCAGCTGGTCCCACAGCACCAGAGGGACCTTCCAGCACAGCTGGTACCCAAAGCAAGAAGAGGCACTGGAGAGGATGGCGTGGGAGCATCTCAGGTACGGCTGAGCCCTTGAGACATGGGGCAGACCCTGCAGACCCCCAAAATGCCTCCCCGGTCACCTCCCAGTCAGGACGATGCACCCTGGGCCATCATGGGCAGGAGCCCGTGGCAGGGACAGGAACTGATGCAGATCCCCTGTGTCAGAGCTGTGTCACTTCTCCCAGGCGGGAGGACAGCCACGCAGCACCCTGCCTGCTAGAAATGGCTCTCCAGGAGCCCATCAGCCCATGCCAAACACACTTGGCTTGTCTTTGTGCCCTGCTCCGCACGGCGCTGGGACTCTGGGCTCATTATGGATGGGTGGGGATGATTTGTGACCTCCACGCACGGCAGCTCTGCACATATCAGGGATCTTTCCTTCCACAGCTCTCCCTGTCCTCAGACAGTCTCCACAGACCACATCCCCTTATGGCAATGCCTTTGCTACCAGCAAATACCTCAAAATCCCCCTCCATCGGGGACAAGCCAACGTGGAGTGGGGGGAGTGGGAGGACAATAGTGTGGGGGTGCCCGAACCAGACACCGCCTGACAGTGTCAGGCCAAGCTCCTCCTGAGTCACTCCCCGGCTGTGATGGAGCATGAAGTCACTTTGGACGTAGCTCAGGGCATGCTGCCAGCTGGCAGCACGTGTCCAGGAAGTCTCTAACCACCACGGGTTTGCAGGCCCGGGACCCATCGCACCGTGTGAGCTGTGCACTGTGCTATTCCCCTGCACGGCTGCTGGTGCTTGAATTGCCTGGGCAGGGCATGGGCTGGGACACAGAAACCCAGGCTACAGAGGGTACACTTGCCTGGAGGCCCGTGGGAGATCTGCAGCTCCTGGCTAGAGCCAGAACAATCAGAAAGCATCAATTAGAGAGAAAAAGAAGGTGTGGTTGAGCATACTGATTTGTGCCTGCTGGGACCCACTTCGATTTTGCATGAGACAGCAGATACCTTGTGCTGTCCGCATGTGCCCAGGACACAGGTCCCCGAGAAGGTCAGGATGTCGTGGGGCACTTTCAAAGTGGAGGAGTAAGAAGATGTTGAGCCTGGAGGCACATCCCCAGCCTATGCAAACCAGCTTGGTGCTAAGCACTACTTCATCCTGCCTTTCCTTCTCCAAGCACAGATGTGCTTATCTCCTCCTTACCAGCGAAGGGGTGAGTCTAGTAGGTAGCAGGTTTGTAGATTAGATTGAGATTTTGGACTAAGAACTTGAAGAAGTGCAAAGTCTGCGGCCTTCTGCTGCTTGACCGAAGTTGCGCACACAGGTTGTGAGTCAAACAGTAAGCAAAAAAAACACAACAGCACAAACCACAATGAGGAAAAACACGACCAAAAATCAAGCTACAGCACTGCACTCTCATGTTACTTTTTAACATTTAACCATTTTAATTTTTATTTGCTCAGAAGAAGGTCAGGGAGCAAGATAAAACATCTGGCTGCAGAACAAAATAAGGTATGACCTCTACAGGCACGTATTTCCTAGTGTTATATTAACCTCTATTAAACAAATTATTTGGAGAGGCAAAGACTTCCACTGAAGTGTGCCTCCGTGGTTTCTTGTGTCAGTTTGAAAATGTTCCAGGAATATCATCTTTTGCTCTATAAGCATCCACACTTGCTTGGGCTTCTCTAGACTGTGAGGGTTTGTGTTGCTAGTGACAGTATTTTTATTCTTAGCATCACAGAATAATTCAGGTGGGGTGGGACCTTGTGAAGTCACGTGGTCCAACCACCTGCTTAAAGCATAGTTAACCTCAAAGTCAGACTGAATAGCTCAGGGCCTCATCCACTCGGGTGCTGGATACTGCCAAGAATGGAGGATCCACAGCCCCTCTGGGATCATTCCAGTGTTTAACCATCCTCACCATGAATAAATTTTTCCTTAAATCTAACTACAGTTTCCGATTCCTCAGCATGGGTGCATTGCCTCCCATCCTTCCCTTGTGTACCTCTTAAGAAAAATCTGTCTGCCTGTCTTTATATTTTAAACCAGAGCAAGCCCTATCCTGCGCCGTCACCCACCACTCCTTGGAGAAGGGATGAAACAAGACCTCACAGCAGCTTTTCTGACCTGGTTTCTTGGCATTATGCAGCACATCAGTTTGCCTAGATCAGACTGAGAGAAAGGAAGGGATGTGGATCCCTGCTCTGCCATGAGGGAGAAGGACAGCCTTTCCACAGCAGTTGCTCCTTCTGGAGCTCTTCTTCAGGCTACCTGGTCTCACTGGTCTGAGATAGACCATAACACAGACCCTTTGGGAGCTTAAGCCAGTTAGCCCATCAAATTAGCCAGTTTGATAACATGTATCACAGGTCATTAATCTCTACCATTTACTTTATACTGAACCCAGTACCTTCAGCGCTCCCCTCTTTGTGTGTAAGAAAAAAAAATGGAGGAGAGGACCAGCCCAGTCACACAATGCTTTCTGACTGAAGGCCACATCTCAGGAAAAAATTGACAGGCTGTCCTTCCCCACTGCTGGCTGGCAGCTGGGGAGGAAGAACAGGAAAGCACTGGGAAAGCAGGAAAACAAAAATGTTAATGTCTTCCCTTTTTTTTTTTTTTTTTTTTTCTATTCTGACAACATTTAACTGGGAATTGAGGGTCATCATCAACTAGTTTCTGGCCACTCCTGGCTGCAGGTGTGAGATACATGCTGGCTGACCGCCTGGGAATGGTATATGCGTTTATTTATTTATTATAAACTTTTTATGTCTGACTGTCTGATATCTGGCAGACGGGCCATGGACTGTATGTTAACACTTTCATTTCAGAGCCACATACAACTCAGCTCTTGACATATTCCCCACTTGCCTCCTCTCTCCAAACCCAGGGTACACCATGAGACCTCACTTACCCACAGCATTCAGGAGGGGAAGCCTGGGGGTGGGACAGGCTCCTGCAGCGCTTTCAGCCTTCAGAAGGGTTTTATGCAGCTACGTGGGCTACGTAAGCATCATGGAGACCAGGGGAGTCTGGCAACGTTTGCTGTAAAATAAACAATAATACATAAAATGGTTTGCACGAGCAATCTAGATGAGAGCCAACAGAGCCTCGCAATCTCAAACAGATACAAGCCATCTCCTTCCCCTGCTTCTCCAGTCCATCACAGCTTACTCGCTTATTGGCCAGGTCTGGCCACAGCCTGTTTGGGATGGACTTACCACCACTCTGTGCCTCGCATTACCCCTTACCCGCCCCATAGAAACCTCTAGCCCAGAATAGGCATAAATATTTTCCCATCCTTTCATGCAATATTTCCAACTCCCTAGTAGGCGCAAAGAGAATGAAGGTCATATATCTTGTTTTATGCCTGAATTACTGCCAATACACAAAGCAGAAGCTCTGAATGTCGTAGTGCTCAAGGCCCATCTGTGCCCCTGGGTGCAGGGACGCTGTTGCCCTGGGACGTGTGGGAAGATCCCCTCTCTTCTCCTGAGAACTCAGGAGTGGGGATAGAGGCACCCACGAGGAATGGGAGTAACAGGGCTTTTATGTGGCATCTGTCTGTCTCACCCAAAACCCCGGCAACAGGTCCACACTCCTTTGCCTGCTACATCAACCAATTCCCAATGCTCCTCCTTTCTGGGGCTGTTCAAAATCCAGGCAAACCTATGCTGTCTAATCTGTATCTGGGGAGAGCCCACCAT